GGGTGGTGCCAGTCTCATCCTCTTTGCTTTCACATGCTCAGGCTGTGGGCTGAGGAGATGCGTGAGATTCTTCTCTCCATGACTTTGAACCTCCTCCTCCAATCCTCCATCACACTAACCCACCTCTAGTTAGGGAATAGACTACTTCTTAAAGATCGATAATTTATATACGTGTGCAGACGTGGAAAGTGATTGTTTAATTACAATAACTAAATGCTTTGTATATAAGGGAATAAGAAAAGACAATCCCTGATATTAAGAAAAGTAAGCAGTGACTCTCATACCAGGAATTTTAGCAAGAATTGAACTAGCAAGCTCCTGAACAATCTCATCATTGCTCTTTCCTGATCCCTGGGTTGTTGATCGTGGCTGTACATCAAGTATTGTAGTAATCATAGTATTAGTTTCCTTTCGCTATAAAAAGAAGAAAAGAAAATGTGAATGATACTCATTTTTTTAGAAACCCATATTCAAAACAAATAGCTGATACTTAAAATTGAAATATTTCTTTCTATGAATTTGCCTACTTGTTTAATTTTGCTGTGACTATGAAAGCACACTAATTGTTTATCAAGCTGAATCATTCATAGAAAATGGTTCTATATGAAAATCATCACACAATATATTTTTCTCCTCTGGTCCTTAAAACTGCTTAAAAAATACATTCATTTTAGATTTCTCATTCCCATTTTGATTCTTGAATCAATCGAAACATTTAAAGCTCAGTAAAACTAGCTGGCAACTCTACTCAATCAAGTAAATAATTTTAGAGCTTTCATTTGAAGGAAAGGCAATTGACCTACATATTTCTAACTTAATGATCCAGTAACTTTTTAGAAATAGCTTCAAAGGTAGCCTTTGATGAAGGTTGAACTCATATTTAATGGTTTTATGTAATTACCTTCTAGCAAAAGAATTTTTCAAATCCTTTTGCTCATCCTGAAGGGCCACAATTTCTTAGACTGTGTATATTCTATTCTGAGATATTTTTCATAATGTTGAGCTTTAAGCTCATTATATCCTTCATTTGTTTATAATGACTGATATACCATCAGCTGACATTAATTAATCACCCAGAGTCACTCTTGGGTGAGATGGGCAGTGACTAAATTTGAAATATAAACAAACAAACAAACATTTTTTAAAACTTCAGTCTGGAAGTAACAGATTTTGATATTTGCTTTGGAAATTAAAAAAATGAGATGATCATACACAAGACAAAATGAACTCTCTACCACCAAGTGCCTGTGTCTTTTTTCTCCCTAACACTCGCTTTCCTCACTGGAAACATTATATATAGATCAAATGATTTACAGTAAGATAACATATCTTGTTTTGAGGCAATACTCAAATTCTTTCTTCCTTTCTGTTCCCTTCTGGGTTTGTTTGTTTATTTATTTGTTATCGTTCTTTTGTCTTCTGCTTTTTTTTTTTTTTGCATTGCTGTTTTTAAATGTTTTAACAATTGTAAGCTGCACAGAGGTTGCTGGGAGTCAGGTGGCATATAAATTTAATAAATTATTAGTATTGTTGGTCGCCTGGGTAGCCAGATGTTTAAATTGGATTTGGCATTTTTATCCATCTATCAAGTCCTTCCCAAGGACCTGGGATAGTAGATGTTGTTGTTTGATGGTGTTAAAGGTATCGTCACAGGATGTAAGCTTGTAAAATGTATGTAAAATATTCTGTCTCCAGGTATTGCAATGTGCACTATCCAGACTTTTTGTCTTTCTTACCAACGGTTGTTAAGTCTGGGGTGTTGTGTGGCAGGTGTTTGTCTGTTTGAATTCTAAAGTCCCAGAGTACTTTAGTTTCTTCATTTTCTATTACTTGGTCTGATTTGTGGTCCCACCAGTTCTTACTTGCAGGTAAATCGTATTTCTTGCAGATATTCCAATGCACCCTTGTTGCTACTTTGTCATGCTGTTGCTTGTGTAATCTTCTTGCAGCAGCTAACTAGGTGGTCCACTTTTTCTTCTGCTCTTTGTATAGGTGGCATTTGCTATCTGTTGCTGTCTTCTCAATTCTGCCTTTGTATGCATTTGTTCTTAAGGCTTGGTCTTGTGCAGCCAGAATTA